CAATAAATGGCTTGTCAGCTATTTTACAACTATGGTTATTACTTTGACTAGAGAAACTTCTAGATAGCAGAATTTTGAATTCCTAATTATTTGAAAGATTTGGTTGGACATTCTTGATCAAATCTGTCTTCTGTGCAAATAAATACTTGGCTGCTAGAGAGAAAATAGTTTTGATGTATTTTGATTTTGATTTGACAAATTTTGATTTTGTCATAGATTTACTAGTCTATTGGGAGGGCTGAAAATGTAATGAACCATTTTATACTTGACCTGTTAAAATACTATTTATCCTCTCTGTTTCGTTGGCTTATTTTGCAACACAGAGTTAAATTATCTTAAGAAATCAATAAAATTCTGAAATGTGGATTCTGCAAAACTCTTGGCTTCCAAAGTCAGATTTAATTAGGCTAACTTTTCACAGTTATTTCCCCTTCCTCCAACATACACAACTGTCCTTTCAAAGTAAGTCTCATCTTAAACTGAATTTATCATGTAGTCTCTCCTGGCTGCTTTTCCTGCATTCCTAGTTTTCATCTCCCTTAATGGTATGAATTCATCCACTCGACCAAGCTGAAAACCTTGAGAACATTCTAGATGTTTCTTCCTTCTCCAATGCATCTCCAACTCTCAACTGGAAGAGTAGCAAAGAATTTGCAGCCATCTTTAATCTGCCCTTAGTGTTAGATCTTTTAGGCATATGTATCTGACATGCACAAAGGTTTTCACTGCCCACCCCCGCTGCATACACACAAATACCAGTATGATGCTAAGTCCTCAGCAATTTGCAAATGTATTGGTTACCTCAGATAAGGATGAGGTGCATATTATGTATAACTTAAACAAAATCTTTAAAAATATGTCATAGCCATGATCAGAATTCTCTCAAGTTTTATTATTTTGATTTGTACATGTGTATTTTATAAGCAACATTTTGAGCTGCAGGAAGCATCTAGTATGCTTTTTTATAATATGTACTCGAGATCTTAGGAGTATTAAAAATAGTTTATTAATGCCCAGGGCATCATTCTAGCCTACCGAATACCTTTGATTTACTAAAGTCACAAAAGTTATGTTGGCTTTTTTTTATGGATATAAGTTTAGCCACATAGTAAAGCATAGCTTTGTACAGGTGTTTTCACATGTCTGATCCACTGACATCAAAGAAATTCAACCCTGTGGTCTTAGAAGTAGAAGACCCAATAAAAAGCACATGTTAACCATTAATGCTCATTTACCAAATCCTACTTAAACTCTTGTATTCTCAGAGCTAATTTCATCCAATTGCCTTTTAATTATAGTCTCTTGCTCAGAGTTGCAAATATAATGGCTTTTTAATATAACTTGCACTGTTCTGTGTCCAATGTAGGATGTAATCATGCAATTTATTCAGTCAGAGCTAGTGCATTAGGTAATTTAAACATAAGCACACACAGATTTCTGCACATGCATTTTCAGCAAGAAAGTAATATATCCAATAAAAGTTTGCTTTTGCACAGAATTCTTTCTGGATAGAGTAGGGTGGAAATCCTACGTCCAGCACTGTACACTGTAACTAAGGTGAATTACGGAAATCAAATATGACTGCCTGAGACCTGTGCACATAACACAGAGAATAAGGTAAAAAAGACAAAAATAGGAATGCAGATAGTTTAACACATTGTTAAACTATTCAGTCACAGCCTTAGTAAATATAATTCTCAGCGCAGGTTCGTTCTTCATTATCCATGAAGTTAGGAGGTGAACAGACCCTCAGTCTCCTGTCCCTTTTAGAGAAGGAAGACAGAAAAAAAAAAAGATAATAGGATTTAAGATAATTTTCACTACTAACAAAAATGATCAAACAATGTAACAATTTAAAAAAATCTTTTTTAAAAATTAAACACATTTTTTTAGTGGAGGTACTGGGGATTGAACCCAGGACCTTGTGCATGCTAAGCATGTACTCTACCACTGAGCTATTATCCTCCCCCCACAGAAGAATCTTTCTAAGTGGTGATTACTTTTGGGAAAGTGACAGTTGATATATGCATGGCTAATTAAACACTTCTATAGTTTTTCTTTCAATGAGTGTATATTACTTTAGTAAAGTTTTCACCTTTATTTTGCAGTAACCAGATTTTATATAAAAATAACTAATGTTTTATTAGCTGTTTTGAATTATATATAATTTTGATAACTTTATTAGTTTTTTAAAAAAACATATTAAGCTACATTTTTACGTATTTATTCACTCCATAATTTATTAAGTGCCAACTCACTCTGCCGTATATATTACAGTGATATCAAGAAAGTGGTGGGCTCTGCCTTAAGATTTTCAGTTTTTTGTGGAATGTATATCTCTAGTGTTACCTTGTAAGAATTAGAGTTTGGCCATTAAAAAAATAGAAAAACGAGACACAGGTTCTGAATCTAAATACCAGCGTAAAAACAAAAATATGTGTTTATTCACCAGGATTTAGGATTTACAGAATGCCAGTATCTAGAGACATAAAAATCTAGATGGGTTGATTTCCTTTTGCAGTTTTCTCTGCATATATATTCACACATCTTGTGTTTGTTCTTCTTATTTAAAATACAAAAGTGTAAAGTATATGTTCATTTCTTGTCTGAAACATTAACAAAAATTTCAGATGACATATCCTTGTTAGCTAATCTCCCTTCCTATCTTTTTTCATTATATCCATATGCTTTCTTCCTCTTACATTCTTAGCAGTTTTAGGGATCCTCTTTGGAAACAAAAAACAAAACAAACCAAAAAACAGGAGGCTAGCCAACTCTCATCCTAGTCCCAAATCAGAATTTAACTAAGCCGTAGAATCTAGACACACAAGCGCTTTTTCAGAATGATATTCTTTGTACATTCAAGCATTAGAGTTGTAAATACTGAGATTTTGGCCCGTTCAGCTCCAGGAAGAGTAATCTATAGAAGCAGACCAACCTCCACACACAGGGGAAGCCAATCTTGACCTTTCTTGATGCCCTGAGTCCAGCTCTCAAGTTTGGAGCCTGAACCCTGCCATTGACTTTATCTAGTCTTGACTGCTCTCTATTCAACCCCGCCTTTCACCTAGTCTTCAAAGGTGCTATTCTAATAGCAACTCTCCTTCAACTCTGAAGTAGAAATCCACAGAGGATCAAAGCAAACATATTGCTGTCAAAGAAAAAACCAGACAAATACATGATTCATTATCCTGATGAAATACCACATTCCCATCCTAAATTCTACAGTCAGATGTAAGATTCAGAGGGAATTCTAAACCTATGAATGGATTATGTATCCTATGTTCCTTTTAACTTAGAGACTCAGGACCCAAATTTCTATAGAAATGAATTCTACACCCAATATATTATAAATAAAAACTAAATCTCCATAATTGCCTACAGTAATAATTAGCTCATTCTGAAGAAAAAATGTAAGCCTTTGATTTTTTTGTTTTTAAATCATACGTATTTTTACATTTTGGCATTTCTAAAATCGAGATTTGTTTAGATTGTGTGTTGACTTTTTTCCCCCTGAAAAGCTGTTTATGGTACATATTATCATTACCTCCAATGATGTCTTAAATCTGAAACTTCAGACTTTCTCCTACTCTATGGCTTCCGTCTGACTGAGGACTTCTTTCCTTCCCTTTATAACCAAGCTTCCTTTAAGGATTTTTGCACATTTTCTATTGAATAGAAATCAAGATCTATCAAGATTTATGCAGCTTGTTCCCTTTTAGTGGACATTTATGAACCAAATTAGTATTAAATATGCTTTAGTCAATATCCTCAAACAAATTACCTTTGTACATTAGTGCACATATTTCTGTTGAGTGGAATTCTAGAAATGAAATTATTGGTTCTAAAAGAATGCACATTATGGGTTGAACTGTGCACTCTCAAAAATCCATGCTAAAATTCTAACTCTCAGTACCTCAGAATGTGACCTTATTTGGATATGGGCGTCTTTATAGATCAAGTTAAAATGAGGGCATCCAATGTGTCTGGTGTCCTTTTAAGAGGAAATTTGACCACAGACATGAACAAAGGCAGGTGATGTGAAGATACACAGAAAATGACACAGAAATGTGACAGTCACCTACAAGCCAAGAAGAGAAGTTTGGAATGGAGCCTTTCTTCACAGCCCCTAGAAGGAACCAATCCTGCCCATACCTTGCTTTTGGGCTTCTAGCCTCCAGAACTATGAGACAATAAATCTCTGTTGTAACATACCTTTCCCAAATGGCTGTGATTATTTGTACCTTAACCAACCAAGCAGGAGAATGACTTTACCCCACACCTCACCAATACTGATCAATCAGTCTTCACCATGTTTTTCTAATTCTGAGGACAAATAAGTGGTTTCTTTCTTTCTTTTTTTTTGACACACTTCTTTGATTTTTTAATACAGGTTTAGTACATTTCTGGGGTTTTATTTCCTTTTATTTTAAAATATCTAAAATCGATTCAAGTGGATTGACACTATCAAATAACCATGTATGTTTATTATATGATTCCAATATAGTTTGATACAATGATAGAAAATAAAATGATTAAACAATGTACTTACTTAAAAATTTTAACTACTTACTCACTTATTGACAATCTGCTGCAAAATTTTTATTCTGTAGAATTATTACATGTATTATGAAGTATATGCCTAAAAGGAAAAAAAGCTAAATAATTAGAAACTATAAGCTTAAAAACCAGTTAATATATTTATAGTAATGTGATATTAAATCACATATCCAAAAATCCAATTTGTAGTATATTAAGGATTATGCTTTTGAAATAAGTTCATTACAGACCTTACTATTGGAAGCACATTATAATTCTGTACACAAAGTTCTAAAATAATATCACTATAGAAGCATCTTAGTAACATTAAAAATGCCTTGTAGGATGAAAATATTGATTTAAAACTTGTTTCCTGAAACAATAATCAATGAGGCATACATGTCCCCAGTCCCCTTTTGTTCACGTGCTGGTTCTGTTTGAGGATTATGTTCCATCTTCCTTCACTGATTCATTTTGTTCTTTTCATGAGTTAAGAAGTGCGCTTTCATGTTACTTGACTGAATAAACCTTTTGTGACAGCCTTCAAAGGGACACACAAAAGGTTTCTCCCCAGTGTGGGTGCGCACGTGGGTACGCAAATTGAAGGACAGGGAAAAGCGTTTTCCGCACCCTTCAAAAGTGCACTGAAACGGCTTCTCTCCAGTATGAACCAGAAAGTGCCTTTTTAGTTTTGTGCTCTCCTTGAAGGCTTTCCCACATTCTGCACATATGTGATCTCGGGGACTATGCACGCGGAAATGATTTTTCATGGAAGTTCTATCCTTGAACTCTCTTGTGCATCCACTCTGAAGACACACAACTTTCTCTGAAGCATCATGTTCTTTACTTGTACTTGGCTTCGTTCTAGCACAGTCTGTGAACTGTTTGGGATCTGAGATGTCAACGCTTGGTATTCCTCCAGGAGGAAGTTTCTTGCCTGTCAGGTACTCAGAAAACTCAAGAAGTGAGTTTTCTCCAACAATCTGTTGAGGGAGTTCTTGTTTTGCCCCCTTTTTCATGTACTCCAAGGAACATTCAAGGAGTGAGCTCGCTGTAAGAACCTGTTGAGAAAGCTCTTGTTCTGATCCTTCTTTCAGGCAGTCAAAGGACTTAAGGAGTGAGTCCCCTTCCCCAACAGGTTCAGAAAACTCACCTCTTATTATGCATTCTATGTAACAGTCGGAGAAGGAATCCCCTTCAACAACCTGAAAACTTGTCTCATAGCACACGTCCTCATCACATAAGGTCCACGGTGTGTCAGGAGGTTCCTGCTGGGGTGGCTGTGACTTGGCTGGTCTTGGCTTACTGTCACTGATGGCTTTTCTACCCAGGCTTTTCTGGTCACATGTCTTTTCCCTTTTCTTCAGTTGCTGGTCCATGTCGTCCTGCTAGCTGCCTCCTTGAAGGTTTGCACCAGGATAGATCAACCACTTCCAGGCAGCAGTGATGTGGGTGAGTCGTCTTCAGCAAAGACCTGCTTGGAGATAGCAGCCATTAGGTAAAGTACATTCCAACATCAGAGCCATTGTCAGGAAATGTCCTCAAAAAATGGCCTAGAACTCAACTTCCAATAACAGAATCACTACATTTATATCTGTGACAAACTCTGCAAGAGTAAGAGAATTAGCTGTAACTTAAGACATGGGTCATTACCAGTTCTTACCTGGGGTATCCCCACAAGTTATCTGACTTCTGTAATTGATCACCTCCCATTTATTGTGCACTCACTATGTGCCAGTCCTACTCTAGGTTACTCATGGGTTAAGACATCAGTGAATAGACATACAAAAAATCTGTGCCTCATGGAGTATATGCTCTCGTGAGCATACAAAATAAATAAATAATGTACAAGGCGAAGTACTATAGAATAAGCCAAGGGAATGATAGAAAGTAGGAGTTTGCAAACTTAAATAGGGAGCTCTGGCAAACCTTGATTGAGGCAGTAGTGGCAGTTGACTAAAAACCTGAAGGCGGTGAGGGAGCAAAATATGCCGATTTTCTTTTGTAACACTGTTGTGACACTCAAATTAAAATAACGTGTATAAAATGCTTAGCACAGTTCATGGCACAGAGCAAACGCTGATCACTCATGTGTACTACTATTATTTTACCTTTGCATTCATTCCAGAAATATATGTTGGATCCTGCAGAGTGCTGGCTACCGTTCTAGACCAAAGGCAGCAAACTTTTTCTGTAGAGAGCCGGAGTTAAGCTTTGTGAGCCCTACGGGTGGGTCTGTGTCGCAACTCTGCCATGTAGCGTGAGAGCAGCCACAGACAGTAAACGGAAGGTGAACAATACACAGCAGACGTGGTGCACAAGCTGCCGTTTGCCCACCCTTCTAGAAAGTGGGAATCCACAGAATAAGCCACGTGAAATCTGTGCATTCCCATCTTTTATGAATGCAAGTTAAAATAAAGGCACAAGGAGAATTTGGCCCTGAATGTTTTTTGATCTTTTCCTTAAAAATCTAAAAGTAGTATTAAAAAAGTTACAGCATGAATGTGTTATACTTTCAAGAGTCTTTTGCTTAATGTCACAATTGTGTATCTTATAAAAGATCTCAATTTTAGTGTCCTGATGTTCTGCTGTAGGAACAAAAATGAAATGCTTTTTAAAAAGGAGCAAATGTAAAAGTAGTGAAATGAAAATACTTTTAAATAGTCATATTTAAAAATATCCCCTCAAGGGGGAAGGGGTTGGGAAGGGATAAAATGGGAGTTCAAGATTTGCAGGTACTAACCCCTATATATAAAATAGATAAACAACAAGTTTATACTATGTAACACTGAGAACTATATTCAATATCTTACAAGATAACTTATAAAGAAAAAGAATATGAAAACAAACAAAAAAATCACCTCAAAACTTTGTGCCATTTACTTTTGGTAAAAAAAGAATACATAAAATGTAAATAAAACATATTTTTCTGTCTTCTTAAACACTATTCTATGCAAATAAACATATACTACATAAATTATATATAAAATAAAGTATATATTTAATGATATATGATACATGTAAGATATATATAAATTGCTAAGTTTTAAATGTCTTAAGCATTATATATTATATAAATGAATATATAATTAGTATTATATTATATATGAATAAACTATGTATTAAAATAAATGTGAATCAAATATTTATATATAACTTACTCAGGGAAGAGTTTTAAATGTCTTCTTATATATTTGCATATATAACATACAAATATTTCCACAGAATACAGACAAATGTTTAAGAACACATTTAAAATTCTTACCAATCAAAATGCATGCTTTGTTTTTATTTAATTATTAATTAAATAAAATTAATTAATAAATCAGTATATATTATATAAACAAACATATTTTATTCCTCATTAAATAATATATAAGTACATAGAATTATTACTTAATATTTAATAATTTATTGATACTAATAAAATATGATTTTTTAACAAAAATAAATGGCATGATTCTTTTAGGTGGTTATTTTAAAATGTGGCTATTTATAAATGTTTTCAAGCTATTTATATATGTTACATTCCTGATATAGAATACGTTAATGGTACAAGTGTTATCCTTTATTCTGAACTTTATAAAGGTGAAATAAACCAGGGAGACTGTATCAGGACTACTTGCCTAACAAAATCTTGCTCTCAAAGCTAAAAAATAATTTTCATTTCATTTTGAATTAGTGAATATAGCACCTTTGGAACAAAATCACTAGAAATAGATCTAAAGTTTAAATAGGAAAGAACACCATAACTCCCTCCCTCAGTTAGTCCATTGAAAATACTTGCAATTTGATTTGATTCGGCTTTTCCCTCCAAACTTGTCTCCTGCCATCTCCAGCTCTCCTGTTTCATTTCCAGCCATAGTAAAGTCTCCTTCCATAAAGTGCCATGCTCTTCCCTCTTGACAAAACACTACGCACTCTCATATTGTACAACTATAACTTACATAATTACTGTACATCAGCCATGCTTCAGTTGAAAAAAAAACAACCCAGACTAAATACCAAACTACAGAATTAAAAAAACTGCCATATGAGTATGTGCACAGGCGGTGCATGCAGAGGTTTACTTCCCACCCACATTTCAGGTCTCTGCTTAAACATCGCCTTCTTGGGCAAACTCCCCTTGACTCTATCTCTGTTAGGTCCCCAAGTTAATCTTCTCTTAGCTCCCTATTTTACACTGATCAGAGCCTCTTGGTTCTGATTATTTAAGATCTGTCTTACCTACTAGACTGTACGCTCTAAGAGAGCAAGAGTCTTTTGCATCTCATTCAGAGGCCCTGGCACTTAATACATTTGTCTAATGAAATGAATTGATGAATATGCATTTAGTCATCGTACTGGCAAGATCTTACTTAGAAATCCTATAAAATTAATTTACTAGAAAATTATCTGGGGCGTTAGACACACACAGGACAGAAGTTTCAAAAAGTTGGCTCTCAGTGATATCAGGGTTGAGAGAAAGAAGTATTTTCTTGATGAATTTACCAAGGTCCGAGCACAGCCCTTACCTTGCTAAGCTAGATTCTTATTTGTCAGATCTCTGAGAATTATGCCATTTCTCACACAATATGCAGGCTTGTGAGAATGATGTATAAAATTGAAACGGTAATCTATTAATTCATTGTGAGAACATGTCTGTTACTGTGACAAGAACATTTTTGGTGGAAATAACCACATGGAAAATGTACTGGTGAAACATTGGCATGAAGACAAAATCTGGATGTTATATGAATTACTTAATGGCGTGAGACTATATACTATGTATTTATATTTCTCAAGTTGTGACAGAAGTAATTCCAAGGTTGCATCATTATTATTAGTACTTCGAAGGTTGCATCACTTACTCAATCATTTGGCAAATATTTAGTACCATTGTTCTAGGTGCTGACCCTAGAGCAACGGAAAAGATACAAAATCCCTAGTTTTCATGGAGCGTTTTATCTGCGTGAGATAGATGCACATAATGCACATAAACGAAGAGTTTTTATGAAATAGTAAATAAAATCGTTTCAGATTGAGAAAAATGCTATGAAATGAAACCAATTACAGTATAAAAGGGAAAGTGGGGGAGGCTGTCTTTAAAAAGAATGTAAAGGCCTTCAAGGAGGCATTAGATTGAGGCCTGAAAAAGAACAGTATTAGCCAGTTGGAGGAGATGTGAGAAGAGTCCTTCCTAACTGCAGGAGGAAGTACATTAACTTGCTGGACAGCAAAGAAAGTCCTGTTTATCATACAAAATGGCGAGCAAAGACCTCATCGGTCTGAGATAAGGCTGAGGTCGGTGCAGGAGGGAGTCCATTTGCATTTCATTCCCAAGCCATTGGAAACTATTAAGGGGTTTCTTTCAAACAAGGAGATTAAATTAACATGATCAGTTTTAGGTTAAGAGATTATTCGGGCTGATTTGTGAAGAAAGAATTAGTGAGGAAAAGAGGAGTAACAGCAGAAAAAATATCCCTTAGGCTATTCAGTAATCTAGGAAAAGAATGGTGGTTTGGAGCATGTGGTGGCTGTGAAGAAATGGAGAGATAGAGGAAAAATGGAGATAGACTCTCCCAGACTTGCTGTGGGATTGGATAAAGGGGCTAAGAGAAACAAGAATCTAGAATAAATGAATGGTCCTAGTTTTTTTTTTGTTGTTTGTTTTGTTTTTTTGTTTGTGTGTTTTTTTGCTCAAGTAACTGGGTGGATGGTAGAGCCCTTTGCAGATAATTGAGGAGGGAAGAAAGGGAAGATAAGTTTACTCTCGTTGTAAAAATTAATTTAAACATTTTAATATAAAACAGACCTAGCCATTACTTGCGACGAAAGACGGTATTTATACAAATTTTTGAAACAAAAATTTAAAAAGCAACTTAAGGGAAATTTCAACCAAACATCTGATTTCTTAAAAGTGTATTTACTTTCCTCCTTTATGCTTTGAAATTTTGGGACCAGTGGCCCAAACTAGCTGTAGATGAACGCAGTCTAAAACTAGAAGTCTGCTGGCCAGGGCACGCTCCCCACCTGGTTCTAGGACGATAAACGCTTCTCATCCGCGGTTTTCAGTATCTTTTTGACCGGGATCCACGCTTGAAAATACGTCCTGAGTAGCGAACTCAATACATACCCCTTTTCCCACAGCTGAATAAAGCAGTTCCATGAAACAAGACTTACCCATGCGATGCACTCTGTGTCCTGTTCCAACTCCTCTCAAAGGTAAAACTTAGAAGACACTGCTACTCTTGCTCCCGACAGCCGTTGAAATCGACCCTGCTTTACGCCCTGCCTGTTGGACCCACCCTCCTTTTGATGGACACACTGTGGTCAGGCTACACCTACATTTCAACTCTGCATACATAGATCACAGAGAAAGGCTCTCCCAAACCTCTGAAGGTCGAGGGGTCAGGCAGCGGCGGGAGTGGCGGTGGGCGTGGCTCTGCTCCGGGCCCAGGTGGGCTTGGCCG